TCAGGCGCTTCGGGACCGTACAGGTAGATCTGTTTGCCGCCCCGAACACGTCTCACTGCCAGTTGTTCTGTTCCCTGACCGAGGGGTCCCTCGGCACGGATGCTCTGGCACACAGCTGGCCCCGGGGCCTACGCAAGTATGCATTTCCCCCAGTGAGCTTTCTTGCACAAACCTTGTGCAAGGTCAGGGAGGACGAGGAGCAGGTCTTGTTAGTTGCGCCGTATTGGCCCAACCGGACCTGGTTCCCCGAACTAGTGCTCCTCGCGACAGCCCCTCCTTGGCCCTTTTCTCTGAGAGAGGACCTGCTCTCTCAGAGACGGGGCACCCTATGGCACCCGTGTCCAGACCTCTGGAAACTCCATGTCTTGTCCCTGGACTAGTTGACACCTTCACTTCTGCTAGAGCCCCCTCTACGAGGCTCCTCTATGCGTTGAAGTGGAACCTGTTTGTTGAATGGTGTTCTTCTCACCAGGAGAACCCCCGAACTTGCTCGATCAGAGACGTGCTTTCCTTCCTGCAGGATGGGTTGGAGCGAAGGCTGTCTCCCTCCACCCTTAAAGTGTATGTTGCTGCTATTTCCGCACATCACAATGCAGTTGAAGGTAAGTTGCTGGGAAAGCACGACCTGGTCGTCAGGTACCTCAGGGGGGCGAGGAGACTAAATCCGCCTCGCCCACTCTCTATACCTGCTGAGACCCCGGCCCGGATACGTGCCCAAGGTGTATCCCTGCAAGTTCTGCCTGGCTTTTCTCTGTCCCGTCCACGCTTGTGCCTGCACGTGGACAGAACGCAAAGCCTCAGAACCTCAGATCAGCTCTTCGACTGTTACAGAGGCCAGCAGAAGGGGAAGGCTGTCTCCAAGCAGAGGATGGCCCACTGGATAGTGGATGTCATCGCCTTGGCTTACGAAGCCCAAGGCGTGCCCTGCCTGCCTGGGTTGAGAGCCCACTCCACTAGGAGTGTCGCTTCTTCTTGGGCACTGGCACACGGCGCCTCGCTGACAGACATCTGTAGAGCTGCGGGCTGGGTGACACCTAACACGTTCGCTAGGTTTTATAGCCTACATGTTGAGCCGGTTTCATATGTGGTGATCCCTGCGGCAATCCCATATGCGTATTCTTCCACGACCAGCTCCCTGCAGTGAGCCTGTGTCTTTCCCTTGGCAGAGTCCGCTCTGCCGTCACTGTCCGGTGTAGCCTCCCCCTTCTCAGGCTGGAGCCACCCCAGTGATATTCCATATGTTGCACTGCCCCTTCCGGCCAGTCCATATGTGTATCTCCACATGTTACCTCCCTTCGGGCAGGATGTGGCTTCCGCAACGTCCCTCTCCCCTCTAAGGTCTTGCGTAGGGTGCTGGATGTGGCAGCAAACGTGGCGTTTTCCATGGGATCCCAATTATGTCGTCATGTCGACGTTATGTCTCTGAAGGAGGGAACGGGAGACGTAACGTCCCGTCACCACGATTGCTGACCATTGCTGTACGGCCGAACACGTCTCGGCTCTAAACAATATGCGCGTCTAAAACAATATGCAACGCACCTGCTGCTCGTTATATGCTCGCCCTGCAAGCAGAGCAGCTGATGCAACTATTGCATGTTAATATGCATTGGCTCGTTTTAATACTCTCGAAGTAGATTGGTCTCTCAAGGTCGATCCCAATTACGCCGTCACGACGACATTACGTCTCCTGTTCCCTCCTTCAGGGAACGAGGTTTACAATATTAACCGAGACGTTTTACATGCCACCCTTTGGTGAGGGTCAACTTCACTCTAGACAGTATATGTTACTTAGATTTATGCCTACATGAAAGGCTGGTTTAAAGTCAAATATCCATTTCATCTCAAAGCATTAAGTTGTGCAGCACTAAACTAAACGAAAGCCCAGTTAACAGTCTTGCTCTCTAAGCTCTTCTCTGCTGCGTTCATCACATACACCCCTTATTAAGTTACAGCCACTGAGTAATTGCTATCAACAGTCATCACTTTTAACAGCTATAAACAAGTCACACCCCTGCACACTCAATTACACTCTCATTCATAACACAGAGAACATCCCAGCAATCACATTAAAGAATATTAAGTGGCTGTTTTGTCTGTTAATGAAGTAATTCATTTATTTATTCACTCATGTATAAATTATTTACAACAAAAACCAACAAAAAAGCTTATGAGCTGACCATTTATAATAGGCCTACAACAGCTGCTTGTGGGTATAATGTAGCCTGAATGTTACCTCAATCCTGAACTTAGATGTAAGAGCCATGTTTCTTTATATAGATGTGGAATAAATAATTGTGTGCATTAAGCAATCGGTAAATAATTATGAGTAAATAATTTTATATGTGTAATATAATATTTCGAATTGATGATGATGTCATTTCCGGCAATGACTAGTTTTGTGTGATGAAATATTGGAGCGATACAGTTTTTTGACCGTGTAACATTTTTCCAGTTAATTTTGTTATTAAACTTTACTTAAAAGAAGTTACTGGACTACGGGATGTTATTCAAGTTCAAATCACGCTCACCCAAGAAGAAGAAGCCACAAAGATGAAAATTTAGACGGATTGCTATCACATTAGATGAATATATTTAATTAACATAATGCCCATAGTGATGTTAAGCAACTCATGGATTTTATTATTACAGCTATAAATAGCAACATAACTTACAGATGTTTTAGCGTAATTGGTGTAAAAATGTGAAATAAAATAAAATAAATCTGGGTTGAGTCAACAGGACTATTCAATGTATCACACAGTACTAGCATTTAGCTGCATGCAACATAAATGTGAGTGTAGCAGAAAGCTGATGTCTTGTGTGTAAAATGATCCAAAGTTTTCAATCAACAGTTCCATCATACACAGGCCGCCTCGTTCTCCCTTTTTTTCTCTCGCTCATGCTCTCTCTTAATTTCAGTAACAGTATTCAATATCCTCAGAATCATATAATGTCTCGGGAACACTTTAGAATACGGTTCCTTCGTTAATGAATAACTACACAGGAACAAATGAGTAACACAATATTAACAATCTAGTAACTACTATTAATAACAAGAAATTCTGATTAACGAATTAGTAAGTAACAGCGCACAGATGAAAGTGATAGTTCACTATTAACTAATTGATAACTACTATTTTTTTATGCTTCCCAGAGAACTACTGAAGAAGATTAATAGTTCATGCAAAACTAATCAATAACTAATGCAGGACAAATGACTAGCACTACATTAACATTAATAACTGCTGTAAACAAATACACAAGGTTTATCAATATGTAATAGCATAGCAGACTTATGATTTGGGAAATAATTAGCCTATGCTCTCTCCTAGAGAACTATTTATCAACTGAATAATTTTAAAGAAATGGCTTTTTAAATGCAGTTGTCGGGACCTTACTTGTCCTGTAGTGATTCAATGCCAGTCCAGAGGAATGCCAGAAAATTGGCCAGAGTCACGGTGACGGCTGGAACATATTGAGTTATCGGCCATCCAAATACCATATACAGTGATTTTATTATTTAACCTATACCTCGCAAAAAAAAAAAAAAAAGATTGTATTAATGTCTCCTATACCTCATACGTGTGTGCAAATATCTTGTGAAGGATTAGAAGATTCTACACTTTAGGATTGGCTTTTCATGTAATAATCATGATAACTAACTAGTAATGACTCAAGTGTTACTACATACTTCTAAAGGAATTACTAATTATTTGGATCCGTATTCTAAAGTGAAGATCATGGTAACTAACTAGTAATTACTCAAGTGTTACTACGGAATTACTATCTAAAACTTCACCAAAAACCTCAAAAGCTTAAAAGAATTAGTAATTCCTTTAGAAGTATGTAGTAACACTTGAGTAATTACTAGTTAGTTACCATGATCTTCACTTTAGAATTCGGATCCAAATAATTAGTAATTCCTTTAGAAGTATGTAGTAACACTTGAGTCATTACTAGTTAGTTACCATGATTCTTACAGTAGTTCTCTGGGAAGTATTAAAAAAAAAGTAGTTATTGATTAGTTAGTGAACTACCACTTTCATCTGTGCGCTGTTACTTACTAATTTGTTAATCAGAATTTCTTGTTAGTTAATAGTAGTTACTAGATTGTTAATATTGTGTTACTCATTTGTTCCTGTGTAGTTATTCATTAACGAAGGAACCGTATTCTAAAGTCTCACCATGTCTCTTTCTCACAATTCCTAAAACCCATATGTCCAGAATCCCTGATGATCTATAACTGGACTGTAGCTGCAGTGATGAGCAAAGTGATGGATTAACTGAGGCCTCAGATTTCAGGGTTATTGAAATGGTAGCACATAGTGTTCCCTCAGCTCCGCCATGTTACCCGTATTATGTTATCTTGATTATATCTAGATATTTTTCTAGATTTCAGAACTCCTACATTTAAGTAAGATTCAATGGTTTGAAACATTTAAATAAATGAAATACCCTGCACTCATTAATGACCCATTAACATTATATCCTTGAGAAAGGCACCTAACCCCAGGTTCCAGAAGGACTATGCCTCACTTTGGATACAAATGTATGATAAAAGACAAAACTCTCTGCTTGAAACAAAAACATGCAAGAGGATGCTTTGCTGATCAATGAAAATAAATACCCTAAAATATTCTCAAAAATACTTTCTAAATACAAGAAAGGAAGCAAACTTATTTTACAAATGACTGGGCATAATCGTTTGCTTTGAATCCCATCCTACACTTACCAATAAAGGTTTACTTTTTGGTTCCATAAAAATATGGTTATTTTTAGAACTGTTCACTGAATCTCTATAGAATCACTGCAAATCCCTTTTAGAACTTTTACTCAACTCTCACAAAACACATATATATATATTCCTAAAAATGTCTGTGTGTATATATATATATATATAGCAAAATGACAAAATGTCTTGTTTTGTAAAAATGTATAAAGTAGTCATAAATCACATCCAAAAAATGTACAGCATGTGTAACAGTTCAGAAACATCTCACCTTTAAGAAAATCTGGGTAACAGGATAGATGAAGAACTGCGGGTGGCCTCTCTACTGAAAGAGGGTTTTGATAGCATTCTGTGATGCCTCAGCAAAACCCTTTAACTCTTTATAGAATTACTGTCCAGTGCAGACCAATGAAACTTCAAGCTGCTGAAAGCCAATAATACCCCTCCCAGCCTCACACATACAGTGCTGGTCAGAATTATTTGCCCCCTTGGTAAATATGATCAAAGATGGCTGTAAAAAATAAATCTGCATTGTTTATCCTTTTGACATTTTATTTTTTAAAAATGCAAAAATCTAACCTTTTATTGAACTAAAATAATTGAAAGTGTGGGGGGGGTGTGGGATTACATTATGAAATAAATGTGTTTCTCCAAAACACATTGGGAACAATTATTTGCCCCCTTTTATTAAATACTTTTGCAACCTCCTTTTTCCAAAGATAACAGCTCTGAGTCTTCTATAATGCCTGATGAGTTTGGAGAACACCTGAAAAGAGATCAGAGACCATTCCTCCATACAGAATCTCTCCAGATCCTTCAGATTCCCAGATCCATGTTGGTGCTTCTTCTCTTCAGTTCAGCCCACTCATTTTCTATAGGGTTCAGGTCAGGGACTGGGATGGTTTTTGGATCACTTTCCTGTTGGAAGATCCAAACATGGCCCGTTATAAGATTTCTAGCACAGGCTGTCAGGTTTTGATTTTTTATCTGTTGGTATTTGATCAAATCAATGATGCCAATGATTTATAGACCCATGGCTCTGTCTTAACTGCATGTACACTGAAAAAAAAGTTGTAGGAATCTCTCTGACATTGCAAGTAAATTTCACAAACAATTACAAAGAAACGGCAAGTAATACATTGAAATTCTGAAGTAGAAACACTGAAATTATATTTTCTTGTGAAACATAGTCCAATAATATTTTTTACAACTAATAATTACATTTTTTTGGTTGTTTTTTACAGTGTTCTGTTGTCTTGCAGGTCCACGTGCTACTATTCTGTTCCCTCCATCTAAGCAATATATTTTAGACACCACTGCAGTACAGCAATTGCATAAAATTGACGACATATGCCAAAAATATACTAGTCATCCTCAGGAGAAACTGTATCTGTCCAGCCTGACTGACCTTTCATTTAGTAGACAGTTTCCGTGGGATAGAAACTTTGTGTCCCTATCAGACTTCTAATTCCAACGCAGGGAAGAAGAGGGTGTCTAGGCTGTCATCAACATGTGTATGCATGTGTACATACGTTTGTGAGTGTGGTGTGTTTGATGCTAGCTGTGTCTCTAAGAATTATTCCAATTTTAGACCCCAATTGGTGCTGTCCAGTCCAACCCCGGCAGAAACAATCCTGACATATTTATGACATTACACTGTTACACAGACAGAAGATGATGACGCCGACACAAAGGTAGCAAATACTCCAAGGTAAGCGCGACCAGACAAATGAGAAGTGCAAACAAAGCAACTTAAATAGTAGACAAACGAGGGTAAATAATTACACACAGTTGAACTAGAAGAACTAATCATATCAGTAACCATGACAACAAAAGGTAAGCGGGGAAAATCAAAGAAACAGAAACTAGAGACAAACTAAAAGTCCATGAAAACACTAACTGAACATAATGATGTGACGTCAAACCAAATTTACCCATTCACACTTCCACATTAACTCTTTTTTAACCCCATCTATAGTGCACAGAGTAACATAGTGCAGAGACAAACTCAGTGGATAGTGTATTGAAATGCTCAGTAGTAAATTTTTGACAAGCTCCTTTTGGTCGTTCAGAGACTAGCAAAGTAATGTAACAACATGACCAGAGCAAAAATCTAATTCATGATTACGATCATTTATGCTGTGCTCATTCCTACAAAAACAATACTAGTAGTCACGTTATGAAAATGCTAGTTATTTAATAAAAATCATCATCATCAAAAAAAAGAATTATCAAGAAAACGGTATTCCCAGCAGACAGCATGTAGTATGTATTCCAATTGTGACTAGTACATATATATTAGGTACTAGTAGTTATTCATTAGGTAATAGTACTTATTTTTTAGATACTAGTACCTATTACTAGATACTAGTATGTATTGAATAAATACTAGTACTAAGTCATTAGATACTAGTACCCATAGATATCCATAATAAAGGCTAGATGTCTCGTCCGCGCTGCTGGCCAATGGAGGTCGATGTCCGCACCTGGCGGCCATCTTGTCACAGGCAGCTCGCTCACTCGTAACATTGTGCTTTAATGGAGCATGTACTTTTTAAATAACTATAACTTGCTCAATTTTCGACCGATTTTCAAACGGTTTGGTTTGTTATAAACGTCAGAGATGTAGTTATGACACCGCATACTTATGAATAATAAGTGTATAAATAAATAATCATCCAGAATTATAGCCACGTTAGTAACGTTTGTAAGAAACCAAACCTTTTGTAAATCCGTCAAGATTTCAACGAGATAAGAGTATTTGTGTTCGTGCTGATCACTCATCTTACATCAGGTACCACAGAGCCCGCCAGAAAGCTTGCCTGTGACAAGATGGCCGCCAGTGATGACGATAGAGACTCCGCCGTAAGACATCTAGCCTTTATTATGGATATCTATGCTAGTACCTAAATATATACTAGTGTCATGAACCAGGTCTCTCTCTCTCTCTCTTTTCCTCATGCATAAGTTAGTCACACTCTGTCTTAATCTCTCAGCTGATCCTCATCGCAATCAGCACTCGCGCTGATCTCCTTCTCACCTGTTTTCTCTTTAGTCTAATTTGATCTGCTACTTCTAGCTACTGTTCTCCCTGCTTCATTGCCAGATTATTGTTGTTCGTAGAGTACACGCTCTTTTACGTTCTTCAGTTACCTTTGCCTCAAGCTATCTCCTTCGGGAAGTATCTTGTCCTGTCCTGTCTTATCGTGAGTTATCCGTTGGTACGTTAATTCTGTTCTCTGCCCAGCTATCCAGCTGCTCGGTTCATTGTTTCTGCTTTTGGGTCCTCAGTGACCTCTGACAACTAGTACCTATTACTGTAAATAGATACTAGTACTTATTCATTAGCAACTAGTACTTATTTAATAGATACTTTACCTATTAATTAGATACTAGCACTAATTAATTAGCTAATACATTTATAAGACACTAGTATCTTTTGTAATTGTTAACTATTCTTATCTTAGTCACAACTGCTTTTTTACTAAAGTCTTATGTTATGACTAGTTAGAACGGCCACTGTAGAGTTCAATTAAAAATCTTACTAGTAAAATAAAAAATCTTTTTTCCACTGGTCATCAGAAATGTCAATGCCCAAATCTTGCTTCCACGTTAGCTTAAGGGAGTTAATCGGAGAAGGGGTTAAGGATATTATTTAACCATAAATGCGACTTTGTCGCTGTATGTCGCTAGGCTCTGTACTGTGAAGTCGCTTGTGGGGGTTCGTAGTGCTGTCGCTCTAATGTTATTGGTAGACTGCACGTCTGGCCATGTCTATACAAAATAATACCATCACAAGTGATATATACAACTATATAATTTTAATTTGACTAGGAATTAGGCTCAAAAGAAACAGTATGCTGTTGGGAGAGTGTTTTTATATTACCACAGGAGTGTTCAGTGGATTAAATAATTTACTAGATTAACGATCGATCAATCAACAAATTAAACTCACTCATACTGTCATAAATTACTAAAACGTCTTTCGAATTTGACAAATAATCAATTTTCTTGTCCCTAATAGTCAACATAATGCAGGGGAAACTGTAAAATGAACTGCAACAGTACTAAACTTGCATCATAAAATTACACCACTCGAATTATAAATGTATGAATTAAACTCACTGAGACTGTCGCTGGCGGTGTGAACGGGGCTTTAGCTGCTCAAATATCAAAGAAGCTGTCTGCAAGGGACGGGGAAAATAAGTGATTATTTGAAATTGGCATATGAATCGATGCTCTATGTAGACCAAATTGTTTCCTGAATTGATGCCAAATCTTAATAGTATTAATAACTATTGGGGGGAAAGAAGCTATGGGGTCGGAGACGTATAATAACAAATCGTCTGCATAGAGGGAAAGTTTATGGACCAAGCCATGGCGTGTGATGCCTTTAAATGCATCATGACTTCGAAGCCAGATGGCCAACGGCTCAATAGCTATATTAAATAACAAAGGCGAGAGCGGGCAGCCTTGACGTGTCCCCCGCTGAAGTAAAAAGGGTGGCGATCGAACACCGTTGGGACTAATAAATTAGAATATGCCTTGTAGAATTCAACTGTAAACCCATCGGGGCCTGGGGATTTCTTATTTTGCATTGAGTTAATCGCTTCTTTGACTTCTTGGGGGGGAAATGGGGCTGCCCAATTTCTTAGCCCAATCTTCTAGGAAATATTAAATAATCTAAGGGATTGGGGGACATTATCGAAGCTGAAGACTGCTCAGTGGTATAGAGGTTAATGTAAAAGTCTAAAAAAACTCTGTTGATTTCAGCTGGGTCTGCACTGCAGTAAGATTACCACTAGGGGACATAACTCTTGGAATTAATCTAGAGGCACTGGCCGCACGGGCCTGTTGGGCTAGTAGTCTACCTGCCTTATCGACATGTTTGAAAAAACGTTGCTTGGATTGCTGCAGTTGTCTCTCTACAATAGGAGTCATCAGGCAATCATATTCTGATTGTAGCAGAAGTCGTTTTTTGTAAAGGGCAGGTGAGGGAGAGACGGCGTAAATTTAATCAAGATTGAGGAGTTTGTCTAAGATATCCTGCCTTTTAATCCTTTCAGCCTTACGCATGTACGAAGTGAATGATATAATCTGACCTCGAACAAAGGCTTTAAGGGCTTCCCATAAGAATCCACTGTTGACCTCAGGGGTATCATTGAATTCAATGTAATTACTAATTTGAGTGGCCACAAAGTTCTCAAACTCATGATGCGCCAATAAATGGGAACTAAATTTCCAAAGTGTTGGGGAGATAACACTAAGAGGAAGATTAATATCAAGTGAGGTGGGGGCATGGTCCGAAACAACTATGGGGTGATAGCCACTAGCGGTAACCAGATGCAAC